TACATAAAACAGGCTGATACGTCCCAGTTCAGAGCAGGTAGGAGACAGGAAAYAACATTCATCTTATCAAATCTTTTCTACATAAAAGTTTAACTTGATTCAAATCAAATCAAGTTAAAATGACAAAGTAACAATTTAGACAATCATGAATGGCAGAAACCATAAGAATACACCACAGCTATCTCTAGTGTTAGCGAAATATCTCAAGAAACAGTGCAGGGATTTGAATAAAACTAATAGTTGTACATCTTCAACTGAATAACATTTGGAAACAACTCAATTAAAAGTGGCCGCCATCGTCAGCTGACCATTGTACACACAAAATGACTACAAGTCAGCCAGTTTTTCAGTTACTGAGTAAAAATGTGGTGTGGTAGTAGCTGAGCATCATCTTCAACACATACTCWGAGCACAAATACAAAAGTGCAAGAGATCAGGCGTGATGCCATGCAAGGTTCGATCAAAAGGTCTAACTGCCTCTTCTCATCTTAAGATGCTTTTGGTGTAAAACTCTGGTATAAATGGTGGAGGGAAGGAAAGCTAGGTTTTACATTTTTACTCCAGTTGACGTCAGTTGGCGTTTCAAATCTTTTCCAGCAATGCTCCTTTTTGTTTTCTCAAGACTTATCCTGCGTTTCCTGCCTTTTCCCAGATGGGTCGCCACACTAACCTCAGCTGACACACACCGTTATGCTTGCCTGGCTGAGCGGATATGTCAGACACGCAGGTCAAGTAAATAAAAGAGTGGGAACCTGAACCCGGTTCTAGTTTGACTTGTCTCCGCGGGACAAATTTCCTTAACCTGTACCTAATCGTCGTCCCGGAGGGAGATCTGCTCTTTAACCTGTTTGACAGCCTTGACGCACACTGATCTGCTTTTTGTCAAGCTCCAGTTCTGTCCTCTGGGACTCTTATATTTTTTGTCAGCGCGTGTGAAGCTAAAGTGTAAACACACAGAATGTAAAATGAGGGTTAGATTTTATGATGAAACAAGCACAGTGTAATGAAAGCAGTCATTCTAGTAAATAAAGCCACATTCTGTGAAGAAGTAGTGAATATCTTTGATTTTATTGACTTTTCACACCCCTGCAATCATCTTAAACACACACACACACACACACACACACACACACACA